CCAAGACTCTAAATCACCAGAACTTGTCAGACCACAACTCACATAAACAATCAGATTTACTACACCTTGCAAAGCAGCTGTGTCATTTGGAAGCATGAAGCAACGTAAACTTAACTTTCGCTAATTAATCAGCTGAGAAATGAGAAGAATGAGTTACGGACTCAACTCCGTTATATGAACGCAATGCCTTATCAGAACTTTTTCGTCGGAGAATTACGTATGTCAGTATAACAACAACCAAACCATAGTAGTCCGCATGGTAATTTAATAGTTATGTATAATACAAAGATTTTAATAAAGAATAAGAGTACAAAATTGCACACATACCAGCGAACACGCCATCGATCGTATTAACGACGATCTCAAGAAATCATTAATCTTTAGCCAAGTTAAAAGAAAAAAGTACAGCATGTCAAAGCGAAAATAGCACTGCACGTTTTTTAAGCTTAATGATGATATGAAAGGCTGTGATGAGTGAATTCATGTAAAAATGAGTATTAACGAACGAATGAAAGAATGAAGAGTTAGCTCTGTTGCAAATACAATACAAACAAGTGGAAATTGAAATTTTATGGAAAGGCCATGCGGTATCAAACAATTACGTGAGTGTATTCCATTCCATCCAAATACAAAACCATAGATATTTATTGAAGCTAACGGTGATAAACAATTTATTTAGTAAACTCAATTGCGGTTCTTCAGCTGATTGGCCAACCAGTCAAGTCCTTCGTAGAGACCATCGCCAGACGTCGCGCAAGTTGCCTGAATGTACCAACTGCGATTGCGTAACGTATGTAATCCCAACTTATCCGTCACCTCAGCAGCGTTCATCGCGTTTGGCAAATCCTACAAACGTCGGCCAAATTTTATACCTTATGTAAGAAAAAGCTGTTGTTCGAAAAAAAATTTTAAAATTAATCATTTATTCATTTGCGGCTTGATGCTGCTGGTTGGTGCTTAGAGAGCTGAACGCTTTCCAAAGAGATTTTCGAAATTCGTTCTGCTGCAGAAGATCAACGATAGCGATATCGAATGAAAGAGTCTACTGCGTAACAGAGATGGAAGTTCGCCTTCGTGAAAAGGATTTTGAAGAAGTGAAAGCGGAACAATATTACAACTTCTACGAAAGGAGGAAACTACAAGTGCACCACATATTAGCTATTCGTAGCACCATTCTTCATAGAGCACACAGCGAGGTGTGATTCCTCGGTGCGATGCCATCAACAATGAGTGAGAATATATTTTAACCAACAATTATATTTCAGTAACTTTCTTTTCGCAGCGGTATTATTTACTTAATAACGATTATGGAAGAGAGGAATCAAATCCTCGTTCATTAGACTGCAAGCCTGGCATACTACAGAGTGAGCTACCCTGACAGATAGGTTTGGGCTCATAAGAAAAAGGCTGAAGCCTAAGCATTAACGCTATCGAACAGATGGCTCGATTAGGTTATGGCATTTAAACCTCCTTTCAGGTTTAATACATACATCGAGAGAAATGTAGCATATTCTGAAACGTTCAGAACCATTAAAGAAGGTTACTGTGTGTATGCAATCAAGGATGTCAAAATAATGTACTGGATTTATACTCAGAAAATTCTCTAAATATTTGTTCTATTTAAAAATAGGGTCAGTTGAGATGTATATAATCTATACTTTGAAGCAAGCATACTTAATATGAATGAATGATTACTTAATTAGGATTCAATTCTTGGAACGCTTTGATCGTGTATGAAAAGCAAACAGGATAAAAGAGTGATGATATGTTAAATGATACCCCCTGATACAGCGTTCATAACCTCTTCAGACAAACAACTCAATTGTCGTGTTGTTTGTCTGAAAATATTGTTTTGCTGCTGGATCACAAGTGAAAATAGCTAGGAATATAAAACCACACTACTCTCTGGTGATGAACATGGATTAATAAGACTCGCAAGAACTGCAGCCTCAAAAAATCAAAATATTGCAACACTCGGTCGTCCAATTCGCTAACAGTGACACATACGCAGTAAAGCTGGGAAACTGCAGATTTTGTGACATGAAAACACCTAGATGAGGAACGATACGATAAGTCCCTGAAGGCCAGTCATGCATAAAGTTACTGCTAGTACGTCCGTGAATGATACTCTAAACTGACTAAATGACAGTCATCATAACTTACACCGATAGGAGTTGCAGTGGCAGTGCGCGAGTTCTGAAATCGTCTGCAAATAGAGCGGAAAAACAGATAGACTGTTAATGGGTACTGTCACAAGGAATTATGATACTGAAGCGACTATCCCTGTTTTACACCTTTACAGTCACATGTTAAATACCGTTGGAAAGGCAGCAGCCATGCATGTGCAAACTTACAATGGGAAACCATGGCGGTGAAT